ACTACGGTGCATTATGTTAGCCCCGTCTCCATGTTCGATCCTTCTCATAGAATATTCACAAAAGGGTGATGCTGCCGGTATTTCTGCTACCTACTAGTCTTTATTCGTCGTGCCAATCGGTTTCTTTGTCATTGTTCATCACACAGGTCAATATTTCTTATTATTGTGTCATTATCATATCTACACTTTGTTTATTTTTATTTATTTATTTGTTTTTACTTTCTCTTTCGCTATTTAAAAGTTCCATGATGTGCTAACTGTGACACAGTATGTTTCATGTCCGAGAACCGAAGTGGTAACGATGGAAAACTTAGGATGCGGACTTTCCCACTTGTTATTGGATGTTCATTGATCAATGAAAGAAGCTGATTTTGAAATATCATGATTTCATCAGCAACATTGACTATGTAGTGCTGATCGTTTTTATCATTTTTGTGTCGATCCCAGCATGAGGAGATTATTGTTGGAATATCAAATAGACCATTACATTCTTTTTTCTCTGGATCCCATTCGATAAAATACACAAACATCGGACGATGTGTATCATTACCCGGTCGTTCTTTTGGTTTCCCCTGTATAACGGATGCATTCGAGGATGATGATAAGTTTTTTAAAAATACTTTCATGTCAGATCCATCAAGATCACGAGGCACAATAATAAACAATTGGTCATTCTGAAGCTGATATTCTTCGAATTTTCCACGAGCTACTTCCATGTCGATTGGTGTATGACCCTCATCCATCGAGCGTATATTTGCTGCCGTTGGTACAACAAAATTGTAGAAGTAAGATAAAGCCATACCCATTCCAGCTGATTGTTTTGCTTTTTGCAATTCTCGTTCTAAACGTTGAATTCGAATTTGTTCGTCTTCAACAAGAAAAAAAAATTTTGTTATAAGCATTAATAGTGCAGTAGCGAATAGAGCATAGCCAACAATTAGTTGGTTTTGTTCTTTTGCGATGGCGACAAGAGCAATGCCAATGATGAGTACGATCAAAGCAGTTCCCAGTTTTAATAGATTTATTTTTCGAAACATCGATGCTCCTGTTAGAACTAACCAGGTACTTAATATTGCTAGAATAATGCCGGCAATAAGAAATGCAGCACCAAACGATTTCATTAAGAGACTCTGGTCGACGCTGGAGAATAACCCTAAGCCAATTACCAGAAGTGCAACAAACAGGACAATGTCGAGCAACATTCTGATCTTAATGCGGCGTTGACGAGCTGGTTGTAGTGGACCTACAACTTCGAAGATTGGATTTTGCAGTTCGTCGATATCTCTAATACATGGAGGCATTGGTACCAGATTAGGAAAGGATACAAAGTTTATCGTTTCAAGTTCATGATGGGACGACATCGTTTAAAGCTTAGAAGAAAATATTATTTGAATCTGAAAAATCTGTACTTAAACTTTCACATAGCTATTAACATAATTTTAGTAAAAAAATGAGTACTATTCCTTCAACTTTCTTTCTTCAAATATCTCATAGAAAACATATCGTCCTGGAGTGTGGATGTGGAATATGAATGTTATAATTATGAATGTAGATGTGGGCATCGGTATGCGTTTTCTCTTCATCTATCCTCACGCTCACATCCATATCCAGAATCCACCAGAAACACATTTTATTTCAATATTCAACATCTAGAATATTGCTACAAGGAAGACTTCGATCATTTCTATCCTGAAATGTGAACGTACTTCCGACACACAAGCAAATAAAATGCATTGGTTTCAATTAATTGATAAAAATCGAATTTACTATATTAAGACACACAGTATAAAATAAACTTTCATTGTGTGTATCTTTTAGAAAAATTCTACGGGTGGCTGGTAGCAGATTTTCCATATTATATGCTGAGGAATTTTTTTACTACATATAAATGTTTACCACGAATAAATTTCTGACTTGAGATAGCCCTGCAAGCTAGTATATCTACATATTTCGTTGTTATCTAACTTTCATTGCCTAACCATTTGTTGAACTTTAGCATGAACTTTTTACGAAATGTACATGGCTTCACAGTATTTACATTTCGGTGTTGATCAATCTGTTGACTTGTTGATATACTTTCTTCAAGGCCAATGAAAAAGTCCGGCTGATCATTTTGATTTGTTGCTTGTTTTCTAATTGATGTAACTCGAAATGCTGTATAAGGCATTACAAGAACTTCTTTTTCGTTTGGATATTTAGATACTTCCATTATACTTAATGCGGTACGAATAGTATGTATTTTGTAAGTACAAAGTGCAGTATATTTCTGTTGGTTATGGTCACCACGTTTTAATGCAAATTTCATGGCGACTGAATAATCGGAAGATGTTGATAAAAACGATTTGTTCATTATCTGTGATCCAACTTCATATTGGTCTAAGTCATACTTGACGACTGTCATACCTCGATAACATTCACCAATATAAGCCATTCGATCGAAGTCGCGATGCGTAAACAAAATTTGCAAGTAACATTTCATTCCACAACGATTAACATTACCATTAGCGCTTTTAAAATTACCACCAATTATTGCTAGTTGTTTATTAAGATGCTTATAAAAATCAGTTTCAGCTGTATAAGCTTTAATCAAATAAATAGGGTCCATTTCTTTCATAGCTTGATCAAAAAATTGTTTTATTCGTTCGAAGTCTTGTGATTCCTTAAAATCAATATCAATAAAATCAATTTGAATTTCATTTATAAGCCAATCAAGGTCCCGGCCTTCCCATGAGTGTTTGATTATCCAACGCCATTTTTCTGCTTCTCGATGAACGTTCTCATCAACTTTCATCCATTGAATTTGGCCACTATGACAGACAAATCTATCTGTTTCATTTTTACGAATAAAAAGTTGTTTGATTTCATGTGTTTTTGATTCCGTTTCTGGTGTGCAACCATAAGAGTTTCTTATCGAACGAGATGCACCTCGTTCTAACAGTAATCGAACGACTTCAATATGTCCATAATAAGAAGCGGCATGTAGAGCTGTACTTCCGTTCTGTTCAATGCAGTCTATTTCATCCAGAGTTAAGGTTTCAACTAATTCTTTTACTCTGTTTATGTCATTGTTACGACAGGAGTCGTAAAGCTCACTCACGGTGAAATTCTTTCTTGCCATTTGAATGTTTTACTCAGCTTGAAGTGTACGATTCACTTGGACTAAGCGTTCGAAGCAATTTATTGGATATGCACACGTGTTTCCGTCTACTAAGTATACAATGTTTATTCTAAGGGAAAAAGGCTGACTTTTTGATTAGCACGATTGGTAATGATTGGTAATGAGTGCCGACGATTGGCAATGATT